TTTGACTTCTAACTTCTACGTGGCCGTAAAACGTGTTAAGTCAGCTCCACCGCGTGCCTTTTTCTTCTCCAGTTACAGACACAGCCACTTAAGCAAGAAAGAGCTGCCTAAAAACTCTGAAGCAAAAAATCGCCGGCCAAGAGGTGGGAGTCCCTGCGTCCACGCCGCTCTTCGCCCACCTCCTCCTTCCCACGGCCGCGAACTCACTTGTCTCTGCCCTGCTTCCGGGTCATTGGCAGCCATAACATCGCGGGCGGGCGGGCGGCGCCTCTTTCCCTTTCTTCCCGGCGAAGTTCGGAGAGCCTTGGAAGTCGGCGGCCGAGATCCCGCCAGCAAGGGGGGGACGGGGCGGTGGGCGCATGCGTCCCCGGGAGAGGGCGGGGCTTGCCCTCCTCCAGCCGGGGCCTCTCTTTGGAGGAGCGCCGGCGGCGGAGAGATGGGGGGGCGGAGGCGGGAAGAGCGCTGGGATTATCGGGGCAGGCGGAGGTCGTCGTCGTCCATGGCGGTGGCCGGAAGGAGAGGCGGGTCTGTGTGTGGCAAAAAGATTTGCAGCGTGGCACGGAGGGCAGAGGCGAGTTTGGGCAAGAACAGCTGGGAAAAGGCTTTCTAGGACCTCGGAAAGCAGCAGCGGGAGAGGGTCTTGTGGTTCCTTTGGGGGCGGGAGTAACACGTTTGTGTTCGCGTGAACTCTCCTGCCACGCAACCCGACCCAGTTCAGACAAACAGGGCTTCCACCCGACCCAGTTCAGACAAACAGGGCTTCCTCCTTGAACCTTTTCTGGGATCAATTATGATGGTAAAGAAATAGTCTTGCCCAAAACTCTTATAGCATTCATTGGAAAGTGTTTGTAGTTCTAGATTAGAGAGCAGCTGTGTAAAAAAAAATATATACAGACACACGGTATATATACATATATTTACAGTACAGAAACATTTATACACAGTATATTTTACACAGTATATATGTAATACATAGTAAGTATTGTCTGAATATTATGCGCTGATATATTATTTATTTTATCCAGACTCTCCTTTATGTGTGTGTGTGCATATATTTTTTTATTTAGCTAACAATGAAGATTTTGAACAACTGGGAAGGCCCATTGGATCAACAGAAACTAATTCTCAGGCTTTTAGATCATGTCATTTATATTTTTGCATTATAAATATGAAGGGGAGTGGATGAAATAAATAATATATCAGTATAAAGACTTGCTATGTATTTATATATTTTAGGGGACGTGGTGGTGCTGTGGGTTAAACCGCAGAAAAACTCTGTGCTGCAAGGTCAGAAGACCAGCAGTTGTAAGATCGAATCCACGCGACGGAGTCAGCTCCTGTCACTTGTCCCAGCTCCTGCCAACTAGCGGTTCGAAAGCATGTAAAAATGCAAGTAGATAAATAGGTACCACTTTGGTGGGAAGGTAATGGCGTTCCATGTCTAGTCGTGCTGACCACGTGAGCATGGAAACTACGGACAAACCCTGGCTCTATGTCTTGGAAACAGGGATGAGCACCGCCCCCTAGAGTCAGACACGACTGGACTAAATGTCAAGGAGAAAGTTTACCTTATGTATTAATACAGTGGTGCCTCGCATTACGATCGCTTCGTTTAACAACGAAATCGCATTACAATGAACTTTTTGCGATCGCTTTTGCGATCACAAAACGATGTTTCCTATGAGGGAATTTCGCTTTGCGATGATCGGTTCCCTGCTTCGGAAACCGATTCTTCGCAAAACGACGATTTTTCAACAGCTGATCGGCTGTTTCAAAATGGCCGCCGGGTAAATAAAATGGTTGCCCGCTTTGTTTAGGGATGGATTCCTTGCAAGACAGGCAGCGAAAATGGCCGCCCTATGGAGGATCTTCGCTGGACGGTGAGTTTTAAGCCCATTGGAACGCATTAAACAGGTTTTAATGCGTTTCTATGGGCTTTTTAATTTCACTTTACGATGTTTTCGTTCTACAGCGATTTCGCTGGAACGAATTAACATCGTAATGCGAGGCACCACTGTATAGTTTTATGCTATCTTTTCTCTATGAGGCAAGATGCTTTTCATCAATTACTAATTAATTTTACACTTAAATAATTAACTATTTTGCAGTTGAACAATTAACCATTTTACATGTAACAATTATACAGGAAAAATAAGAAAAGTATAAATAATCAAATTCTACGTTTCAATTAAAATACAAGTATGGGATGCAAATAAAACAACTTAAAAATAAGTCAGTTGAAAGAATTGAAACACATCCACATTTCATCTCAGATGACAGAAAAATATTTGGCAAAATTGAAACAATTTCATCAAAATAGAGAAATGACATTGAAAGAAGGCATTACTGTATGTTCTTTGCAATGGTTAACAGAGGCACAAGAGTTCCTGCATGTTACAATTACTAAGGAACTGCTGCCAGAATATGGAACCCACTGGCCAGCTAGCTTATAATGTATCTACGATTGCATGAATATATGACAAATACTTTCTAAGTGAAAGTAGTATATGTTTGGCTTCCCATAATGTGTGTGACTGATGGAACAGAAAGGGGAAGTTTCAGTTGTCATGTGAATTAAGGGACAAAACAAATATGACAGCAGCTATACTGAAAGTGCTTAGCTTGCAAACATTTCATGTGCACCCTGGTAGCTCTAAATGCACTTAATACAGAATAGTAACTTGTTTATGGCTAGTGTCTAGCAGCATTTTTACTGATCCTAACTGAATAGATGAGTGGAACTAATAAGCACAGATGTAACACAGTGGCTGGTGTTACATCTACTTTAGACTTGCATGTTAAACCTCCAAGAGAAGGCACATTGTTTTATAAATTCAGCAGAGAGTCATGCAGTCTGATTCACAATATCTGCAGTGGGAACCTACGGCCTTCCATTTTGAGCTACAATTCTTAATATGCCTAACCACTGACTGCACTGGCTAGGAGTAATATTCAACAACATCTGCAATTCCTTTGCCCTTCAAATTCCCTTTTACACCTTATTCCCACTTGATTGCTGGCAGCCTGGTGCATATGTGGATACAAATTACAGATTTTGGAAATACAGATTTACCAAAATTTTTGTTGCCCATTAAAAAATAAAGCTGTTACAGTATCAAAATACTACTAATAATAATAACCTTAGAACTTCAGAGATGGAAGGAACCCTATGGATCAGTCATTGTTGCTATCAAGGAGGCACAATGGGAAATCAAACTCCCAGCATCTGGCTCATACCTACACCACTGGGCTATCCAGCTGCAATATATCAGTATTGTGCAAAACTTTTTTATGTTGTGAATGGGAGCAAGCATAGCACTTAAAACCCACAGTTTTCAGAGATACTGTATAGGTTACCAGTATGCCTTTAGAACTATAATGCTAAGCATAAAAGAGAAAAGCTTTGGGTTGCAAAACTTCATTCCAGCAGGCAGAGAAAGCACAAGCAAAAATGGAGGTACAGTAAGTAATTGTTAAGAGACCATAGAGAGAATAAGAAAATAAAGAATGTAATTTTATTTAGTCTTGGTAGACAATACCTTTATCCCAATGGACTGTCTTTTGTGATTTGCAGTTGAATATTGAATATGGCCATTATCACTAGTCCACATATAATTGTAGCGTTTTTATATATTAATGCTGAATCTTGTCCTACCAACTGAAGTTTTATTTGAACTACAGTAGGACCCTCATATCCATTGGAGATTGGTTCCAAACCTCTCCATGGAGATTGAAAATTGCTGATAATAGCAAATGCTCTATTATAGCATGCTAAAAGGGGAAAAAACAGAAAAAATATTTTCACTAGAATATTTTTGAAAAAAATATTTTTTCACTAGAAAAAAATATGTTCACTCTGGCTACTAGAGGGTGTCAAAGACCACACTATGTGCTCTTCACTAAAAAGTATTCATAGCACGGTCTCTGGCTTCCTATAGTGGCCAGTTCCAGTAATTCACGTGAAAATAGTTTTTTATGGACTTTTTTCTTTTAATATTTTCAGTATTTTCAGAACATGAATAAGTCATCAGTGGATACTGAACCTGTGGATAAGTGGGGGCTACTATATTTGGTTATACCGTTCCATCTATTAATCCATAAGCTCTTTGATGTACTATTTGCAACTTAGTAAACTTTTTACCATCTACATATATATATTGTTTTAATACCTGGAGTATGATTATGCTATATGTTTTATATTTGCCTGATACCTTTATTTATTTATTTATTTATTTGACTTATATCCCGCCCATCTGATAAGTCTATACCACTCTGAGCGGCTTTATTGAGATTGGGTTAACCAGAAATCCTTATGGATGTGGTGATACTGTCCTTACTACAGTGGAACCTCTACTTAAGAACTTAATCCGTTTTGGAATGGTGTTCTTAAGTTGAAACGTTCTTAAGTTGAAGCAAAATTTCCCATAGGAATGGACTGAAAACCAATTAATCCGTTCTGGCTGGTTTTTTGTTATGTAGAGGTGCGTTCGTACATTGAAGCATTAGTTCCCATAGGAACTAATGCAGAGCTGGTTAATACGTACTCTACCACTAGGGGGAGAATTTTTTTTTTAACCTAAGATGACCTAAGGTTAAAAAAAGAGCAGGAAAGGTTTTTTTTTCCTGTTCTTATCTTGGATTTCTGTTCTCAAGTAGAAGCAAAATTTAGCAAATGGAGCTGTTCTTAAGTTGGATTGTTCTTAAGTAGGGACGTTCTTAAGTAGAGACCCCACTGCTAGATGTGCAAGTATATTTGTAAATATTATTGGTGATAGGTTTCTATGAGAAATGGCTGTGGATGCCAATTATCTCAAGAGGTAATTTGCCTTGAGAGGTGGTGAGTGCTCCAACACTGGAGGCATTCAGGAGAACCTTAGAGAACCTCCTGGAAGATATCCTTGGATTTGTAGTCCTGCATCGAGCAGGGAGTTGGACTTGATGGCCTTATAGGCCCCTTCCGACTTTCCTATTCTGTGATTCTGATTGATGGCCTTATAGGCCCCTTCCGACTTCCCTATTCTGTTTCTATGCCTGAACAGTATACAGGCATAGGCTGAGTGCTAGTGCAGTCAAAAGATGGGTGTTAGAATGTTGAGTGCTGGCCTAGGTGTTGATTGAGCAGTGTGAACGGAATGTGTTGGGAGGTGGCAGTTGAGAAAAAGTTTGTCTATCAGTCAGTGAGGCTCTGTTGAAGGCAGATGTCTATCAGTCAGTGAGGCTCTGTTGAAGAATCTGCAAACTGGGGTCCCGAGATGTTCATGGACTGCAGTTCCCAGAAGCCTACACCACTTTCTGAGCTAGCCGGGATTTCTGGGAGTGGCAATCCAAGAACATTTGGAGACCTCAGTTTGAGAACCGCTGTGCTAGAGGATAGTCAGAGAGAAAAGAGTTAATGGGACAGTCTCTTGTGATAGAAGAGTGTAAGAAAATTTTATCAAGAGTGTGCTGTGCAGAGAATCTGAAAGTACAGTAGTTATTTGGAATTTGGATACAAAATAATGCATTTCTATTTGAAAACTTTTGTTCCTTTATCCTATACACCCTAGAACCTATCTTTCCCTTTCCTACCTCAGTCTCCTGAATAAAACTGGTTTGTTTGTTTAGAACCAAGGTTTCTTTATTATTTAATTTCATGAGTAACAGCAGAAGACATTACAGTAAGAAAATATCACATCCACAGATCACAAGGCTACCTAATACCTAAGGAAACAGAAGACATTTTAAAAGAGACAGACCTTTTCACTCAGCCTCTGAATATAAAATAGATACCAGTTTCAGGCAGGAACACTTTGGCAGATGGACAGTAAAAAGGGTCTCAAATACTTGGTAGGGGTTTTGGGGGTAGTTGGTATTTTAGGCTAACACCTGTCCTAGTGGGCATGATGGAGAGGTGACCAGGTTTAAGCTGAAGGTGCCTGCAACTACCTGCCAAGCGTGTGGCCTGCTAGTGTGAAGATTTGAGGGAAGGGATGCTCCCCTTGGGAATAATGTGCATCATTACCATATAAATACACATTCTAAATAATTTGGGGCAGTTTTCATTACATTTTATTGTTCAGAGCTTTTTATATGGTGCTCTTTTTCAGTGCATTATTGCCTATAATGAAGATTAAACATAACTAATAAAAATCAATCAGCACTTACTATACTTTTGTATGGATCATCCTAGTTGCTACAGATTACACATGTTTAGCAAGAAATATGCTTAATTACTCTTGGATTTCTCCTGAGCTACTTTGCAGTACTTTATCTAACAGGACATAAAATTACTTTGTTTCAACATGCTGACACATTTTTGAGATACATAACTATAATAGCAGTTTTTTTAAAAAAAAACACTTGCTGCTACTCTGACAGTTTCAGCATTTT